GGATCAGAGGCGGAAGGACGGCGGACAGCGGCCGGGTTGTGGTTGTGTGCGGGGCCGCCATTTCGGGTGTGGTATTCTGCGCTCTATAGATAGAAACCGAGATTTAGCTTCGAATGAGAAAGGGAATTGATGACCTGTGGCTTCGATTCACCACTCACTAGTAGAGACCTGCTGCAAAAACTATTGCTACTGGCTGTGACGAACGGTGCACAAGGCCCAGCTTCAGGGCCGGCGGTTCAAAAGATATCGAGTCGAGCACGTCAATGATTGATAGTCAGGGTCCCCCCGCGTGCCTGAATTCCCGAATGCGATTTGCCCCGCCGGAAAGGCGGGGGAGTCTTTTTTTTTTCCTTCTCTTTGGGGACTTTCTGGAATCGGACTGGTCTTGTTCTAGTCCCTCCGGATAGGACCGAATGCGGTAGATTGACGCGGAGCTCAACTCTAAGATGCTAAGGCTCATGGTATGGTGAATCGGTGAGTGGATAGCGTGATTTCGTGGCCATGACCATAGCTAGAGACTTTGGGAAGTAGCATAGGTACTAAGCGATAATGTCTACCTCAGTATCCAGGGATTCAATGTGATAGATCTTTCTTGAGTTGCATGGAGATGCCACGAGTTTCGTGAAGACTAGCCATTTCAGCGACATTGCGGGGACTCAGCGTAACGCGGGGTTCTAGAGGGGAAGCTGCCCTGGGGTGTCGAGGCTTCTGGGACTACCATGTTTGCGGTGAGGGCCCAGGTAGTTAGGTAGGTACCTGAACCTAAGGCAAATGGAAAGAGTTGCTGCATTTGGAACAAGACGATTGTGACGACCGAAATATTACAATGGTTGGATATGTAGAGGGGATGATGGAGGAAGACAAGCACTGCTGGGGTTTTGCAGGAATTTTGCAGGAAACAAAAGACGGGCAAAATTCGATCTTGAATCTCAACAGGCCATCGGCACCTGCCGCACCTGCTCCTTCATATGGCTGCAAGCCAAGATGGGTCGCTTATTCTTCCGGGACGAGCAGCGTGCCCTGGTGATTCTGATACCACTATCATATCTTATCTCTTGTCTTATCGATTACCAGCAGGCTCACTTCGTGCTTCATCTGAGGTACCTACCTTACCTTTCCTCAGGGAATCACGATGAATCATACAACAGATAATCCGTAGATTTCCCGTTCATCACCCATTTGCAGTATCTTCCAGAAGCTGAAACCTCTCTATGTAGGTTCCTTTCATCAACAGCGACGGTATCTTTGATCGGCCGACTTCGTTGAAACCCTGACGCGGTGAAGTGTCTCTGGCGACGCTGATTTGACGAGTCCATCCGTCTTCGGGTAACCATATCGTGGTATCTTGGGGTTGCCTACACTCTTGTAGATTCTGGCTAATACTATATCAGATAATGCATGGTATCAATCACAAACCGACCTGCTCGCATTGGACAGCAATTAGCCTGAATATCCTGCCAAGTGAGCTCTAAATACCTTGCCTCACTCATCATTTCTCCATATCGACCACCCAAGTGGTCCTTCACAGCCTGGCTCTCTTCAGCCTCTATTTGTTCTGCATCAATTTGTTGTCTCGTTCCAACAGTGACGGCATCAATGCGACTCTACGAGTCTGACTCATATTGACTGTCGACCATCCCCCGTCCGGCACTTCGGTCAGCCAGTCAGCCGCCCGCTTGGAGAATATACCCCCTCGCCGTTTACTCTATGGCCTGTCCAATTCGACCTTCGAGACAAGTGTCTGCTTGCGAGCTGTGCTGGAATCTCTCACTCGTCAGTTAATACTCTTTCAATAGGCAATACCTACCTCCTGCTCCTCCTTATCCAGTGCCTGTAGGGGACTTTCGATCCATCGGGGTGTCGTCCATCTCCCAAATGATTGCCCGCGATGATCTAGATCGTCGCTGTCCATGGCGTTTGGGTTCCAGTCTTCAAATGACGCCAGACGACTGCCTTCGTTTTCAACCCATCTTCTCAATGGTAAAGAGACATGACCGGTGTCTCGAGAATATTCATCCGCCTTGGCAAATAAATGGCTTTCGGGTCTTCATATTGGCAACCATCTTCCCCTCCCTTCTCGTACCATATTTTGTGTCAGCGTTGTTGCACCCGGAGTATTTGGTCTCATATCTGTCTACTATTTCCATACGACATGACTTCCTCTTTCGTCGCTACTCAAGTCTACATGGACGAATGGGTGATTGCTCCGAACCACCGTTGATTATGGCAAATGCTGGCGTCAGCCATCGGCTGGACTTCACTTAAAGACTTCAAAGCCACTCCTAGAGAGTCATCATCCTCATCATAATGTTCCCGTACCTCATTTGAAGACGAGAGAGTGAACTGGCCGGCAGAGATCATGCGTTTGCTTACCACTACCCTCAGCACTGTGGCGCTCATTAGCTCCGGTAGGTTTTTATTACCACTCGTATCTTAGGGAGTTGTACTAATCCATAGCACAGTAGCCATCGCCCAAGACCAGTCAACTTACTGCAACAGTCTAGGTCGCTGCTTCGCTTCTTATACCAACGCAGGCGGCATCACTTACGGCATCGCTATACCCGAAGGACCTGCGACGGGTCAGCCATATGAAGCCATTGTTCAGATCACTGTCCCCATCGACATAGGCTGGGCTGCCTTAGCCTGGGGCGGCTCTATGACGTACAATCCCTTGACTATCATATGGGCCAATGGAAAAGACGTGGCTGTCTCCTCTCGAATGGCATTGTGAGGATACAGTTCGATCCATGGAAACCGCATGATCACTGACAATTACTAGTAGCTACTTCACTCCTCCACCCTACGAGGATGCAGAGTACATCGTTCTTCCCGGTACTGTCGTCAATGATACACATTACTCCGTCACGGCCCTATGCCGAGGTTGTACATACTGGGCACCATATGGAAACGATCCAACATCCTTGGACCCCAACGGAGAAAATACTTGGCGTTTGCTTACGCTGGCGTGCCAGTTGATGACCCGGCTACCAACGACACAACTTTCGGCATCCACGAACGCACAGGACACTGGATGCACGACTTCCGACCGGCTCAGGCAGTCAATTTCGAATCTTGGGCAGCGGGCAATGCTGAAGGTGAAGGTCCGACCAGCGCCGCCACCAAAACGACGCTGCTGACCACCTTGTCGACATCCACTTTGCATAGTACCACGACTCCCAAGACTAATATCACAAGGACAGGTGTTTCACTCAGCAGCGTAACGGCCACTGTCTCATCTCCGCTTTCCACTTCTACATCGTCCTCCATCGTTTACAGCGCCCCTATGCCTCCAGTCCCCAACTCGTGCTCCGGCGGCGGCGCCTTCAGATTCGGATACCAAACTGCGAGTGGCTGGAAGGCCGTTAAGCTTGCTGGATCTCTGACAGGCCCCCGCGGATTGGTCGTTGACTCCGAGGGCAACTTACTGGTCATACAGTCGGGCAAAGGTGTCACGGCTCACACCTTTGGAGCCGACGGCTGCATCTCTTCCACAAAGACCCTGATCAGCAACCCCTCGCTAAACCATGGCATCGGCTTGACCCCTGATGGTAAGACTCTGTACGTCACCTCCATGACTACCGCATGGTCCTATACCTACGACGCAAAAGCTCAAAGTGTGAGTGCGCAGACTGTTGTCGTCAAGGGGATGCAGCAGGGAGGTCACCCAACGCGCAACCTCGTCATTCCGCCGGCAACACCCCATCTGCTAGTCATCCAGCAAGGCTCTTACAGCAATTTTGACTATGAATCACTCAACAAGGCAGTGGCCCGTGCTGTAGTCAAAGTGTTTGACATGCGCAGCGTGCCATCCGGAGGTTATACATACGCCTCCCAGGGGTGGTTTCTCGGATGGGGCCTGCGCAACGAAGTAGCCCTCGCAGCGGACGGAAATAATGCGTACGTCCAACGTGTCTTGCTTTTCTTTTTGTAAACACATATAAGCTGACAGTAATCTTTAAAGGATTTGGGGAGTGGAAAATAGCGGTGACTACTTCGCCCGCACAGTCAACGGTCAGAGCTACGACATCCACAACGACAACCCAGCAGAAGAGCTGAACTTCCGTAAGTCGCCACATTCTCCGGGCAAACAATCCAAGACCACTCACAACTCGTTCAAGTTGGTGATCCTTCTCAACCGAACGACCAGTGGTACGGGTACCCGACCTGCTTCACTGTCTGGGAGCCGTCCGTCATCAAGGACAAGATCTTCAAGGTCGGACAGCAGTTCGTCGTCGCTCCCAACAGCACCTTCAACGACGATACTTGCACTCAACGCTCTGTGGCACCCAGACTATCGATCCAAGCACATAGCGCACCCATAGGCGCCGTTTTCGACAGCGCATTCCAAAATCTGTACGTCACATTGCATGGCTCATGGAACAGGTCACCGGCTACGGGCTTCAAGGTGTCCGTGGTGCCATTCACCCAGCTCGCCTATGGCGGATATGATCCGGTTGCTGCCGCAGACTCTAAGACTGGTTACACTGATGTCTTTTGGAGCACAAACGTCGGAAGCTGCACGGGGTCGACCTGTTTTAGACCTTCCGGCATCGTCTTTGACAAGGGATTCTCGAGATTGTTTGTTGCTAGTGACAACACCGCGGAGGGTGAACTCTTCATGCTCGTCAAAGCTTAAGACAGGTACAACTCATTGCTTACAGGAGGAAAGGGGTGTAGATCGATTTCAAGATTACCACTCCGATTATTGAAGTCCATCTGTGACATGACGAATGCCCTTGCTTTCTATTTACCCGTAGGCCGCGTGATACCAGGCTGTAAGAATCGTACCCTTAATCATACGCAGCCGAAGAGGCGTAGTAATGCCATCGGGAGACGCCAAGTTAACATACATTGCTCTCACGAAAAGCCTGGATTTCCACAGAGGACTGCCTGAAGTAACAGCCGGATTGCCACTCTGGGTTAACTTGTCTGCAATTACAAGGTCAGCAAGTCGACTGTTGAATACGCTCCTGTGTATCTCCCCAGCCAGACGTACCCTCAATAAGAGATGATATTGCGACAGTGCCACGTAGGGTTCAAACTGGTGTGGCCGAGTTTGAATTCCACGTTTTATTTCATTTCGCTTTATATTAAGTGAGCATGAAAATTGAAGTCATGTCCCGGTCTTGACTTTTCTTGATGTGACGCTCGAATGACAAGGGAGATGATGGGTAGTCTCCCATTATCCCAGGACAAAATCATTGCACGAGAGTTTGATCATGATCCTACTCTCTGTTTGTACCGGTTGCCGATTCTACGGAGTCCCGGGAAGGAGCGTCATCCTGCAAGAGATGCTCAGAGAGGTCTATCAATTTGTCAGCAATTAGTGTCATGGAAGGCAAGGGGGGGGGGGTTCAGCCTACTATCGACATCACTCCGTCGTGCTTCAATGGCGCCGAAGAGCGCGTCCATATCCTCCAACTCCCGACCCTTCGTTTCGGGAAAGAAGGCATATATGGCCTAGAGCATTAATTAGATGTTAGGGTTTTAATACGCAATAAATCTAAAGTATTCATACCGGAATGCAGATAATGTTCACGACCATGAATATGAAGTATATGTTACTGCCCATATATCCGATGCCCGCAGACCACACCATGGTGACAATAGAAGAACCAACAGAGGCACCAGCGGAGGCAAAATTTAAGCCTCGGGCTCGTACCGAGGTGGGAAAGATCTATCGTAATGTCAATATTAGTGCTTGAGTCGAGAATGGGGGAGGGCATCGTCAAGAGGTACTTCTGTATTGTAGACCCATGCAGTTGGCCCAAATCCCAAGGAGAAGCCAATGACGTATACAAAGATGAATGCCACGCAGATTATATCGGTAGCTGGAATTTTACGCTGAGGATCTAGGAGAGGCACGGCTCCATTGATCTGAGAGAGAGAGGCTTGTCAGCAATTGCAGTCCTTTCGCACGGGTTCCCCTTTCACCTACCAGCAGTGAGAAAGCCATGATGATACAACCAGCAACGAGGCATTTCCTCCGTCCGAACCGATCAATGATAAACATCTCGAGAACCGTGAAACCTATCTTAATTGTTGATTCGGTAGCGCTGATGAGCAACGCAGTATGGGAGAATATGCCATGTTGCTCCAATAACCATGGGAGGAAGTATTTAATGGCAGTAGCACCACAACTTGAAGCCATGAATTGTAGCAGGGTAGCTCGCCAGAGACGATTAAACAATGGCTTCTGTCGGAACAAAGAAAGCCAGTTGCTGCCGGATTGATGGTACTCGTCGACGCTCTTGATGATGGCTGAGAATTCATGCTCAATTTCATCGTCGTCGAAGCTTCCCTCGCGGAGCCAGCGAAGTGTCGAACGTGCCTGGTCTTTCCTTCCATGTTCGACGAGCCAACGGGGACTTTTTTTCAGCGTAAGTATTAACAGTCTTCTTTGGATTGGAGTACTGACGTTTCGGGGACCCAGGGCAACCCGAGCCCAAAGACCATTGCGGGGATTATTTCCAAGAGGATAGTCAATCTCCAGCCATAGAAAAGGCCTGCGTCAGAGGACCAGAATCTCATGAAATATCCAACCCTGTCGTCGTTAGATGTTTCTCAGATGAAGGCGACATTGTCTTGGTTTACCAGAAGCCCAGCGCTATGCCAGCGATGAAGCCGACGTGGTTCAACGTTACAAAATGGCCGCGCTTGTGTGCCGGCGATATCTCACTAGCAAAGCCATCAGTGCCTACGCATTGGAAATGGGCTTAGAACCTCTCACGCTTGGTATAAAGGCACTGATGTAGACACGACGGCAACTCCAACGCCACTGATGAGTCTTCCAGCAAGCATAGTGCCGCGAGCTGTACTGCCACCACTTGTGGCTTGCAGTATGGCGCCGAGGCAAACGAAAGCTGTTCCCGACAAGGCGGCATACCGACGACCAAGCCAGTCAGTGATCGGATGAGAAATGCAGAGATAACTGATGAAGGTTCCAGTGTAGTAGATGCTGACTACAGTTCCGATCAAAGCGCGGGTTGGCTGATGTAGAGCTTCGCGCCAGCCTGAACTGACTATCACTGAAGACAGTATGCCAATGTTGTATCTGTACAGAGTAATTAGGATCCGCTAAGCTCTTTGAACCACTCGATGGCTTAGTGCCGCGGTGCTCTTATCAATACCCAACGACATATCGTGTCTTCGATGGCTCGCCATATTCAGTTGGCTAGGTGGAGTAGAGGACGAACTTACCCCCAGACAGATGCGCCAATGCCGAAAAAGATGCAGAGAAAATAGAGACGCGACTCGCCAGCTGGTAACGAAGCACGAAGCCAGGCCATATCGATGGGCGTCAACTTTGGAGACGCGGCTAGAGGGGTAAGCGGCGGGTGGGCACAGCAGGCCGGAGGTGCGCCTTGCGGCAAGGAGTTGTTGTCGATGGCTTGTCAGTATTGAGGAAGGCCTTAACTGGTAACCTTCAATGTAGTTCCAACACAATTGGAAGCGGGGAGATGTAACTGGACGGCTACTTGAGACAATATGCAATTCCAAGGTGAGGCGCGGGGTCGCTTGGCCGAGACAGGTTGGAGCATCTTGTGATTATGTAAGACACCTTCATGCACCACCCGCTAGCTTAGTCTTGCCGTTCAAAGAGACAATTTTTGTCCTGTTTGCGTACTTGGCGAGTTTCCCGAATTATGTTCATGATTAGCTCAAGGACTGTATTTCCATTTGGCGTAGGGAGCATGGGTATAGTCAACGAACATCCGAGTATGGTTCAGAGGACCAACCCCATGCGGAGGCTGCCCCTCTTCGGCGGAGCGATATCCGTGCCCTCTATGCGCCATGGCCATGAAAGCGAAAAGTCTACTACATTATTATCTACTTAGTGTTCCTGACCTGAGCGTATTGTCAATCTCAATCATAACTCCTTGGATCAGTTGTAATACCATCTAAGGCCTCAGGATTATGTACCGCCACCGATATTACAGCCAGCTGTTGCCTCAACAGCGGTCCTCATCTGAAGTCATGGCGGCGCATGGCCGCTTATGGCGTACCCATCATTCATACATTAATTTTACAATGTGGCTTTCCCTCCTCACAAACACACACTCTATCGAGGCACATACCCCGAGAAGTCGTACATCCCATTATGATCCTGCAGTCCCGAGTTCCAGTCGAGGAATTGGGGCTGCCCATTGGCGTCAATCACTGGCGCGTACATGCTCATATTGCTGGGTGATGGCCCTGACGCCGGCACCATGGTGCCATCATGGTAGCCCCAAAGTTGAGCGGCCATCTCCGGCGTCATTCCATTTGCCATTGGCATGAGTTCCGCCTGTTGGTCGAACATTGGCGGCTGCTGAGACAATTGCTGCTGCGAAGGTGACTGCTTCTGCACGGGGGGAGAGCCTCCAAGACCAAAGTCGGATGCGGGCAGCTGTTCTATTAGGGGCTGCAGCGTCCTTGGCGGAACAGAGCCTCTAAACTCCTCCGGGGTTGATGACGCCCTTCTGACTGTTCGAACACTGTCGGAGTGGGCGAGCATACCCTGCCCGTCGAATCCACCTCCAGGGAAGATGGCGACAGACTGGCTGTCTTCCGAACCCTCGTCGACGTCTACGCCCGAGTCTGGACGAGGGACGGTGCGAGTCAAGTGGCGTGGGGCTAAGAGTCGGGACGGTGATGGCTCATTCTTTCGGTTGCTTCGGTTCGAGTATGGCATGTTCTGTGCGTTGGCGATGCACTGTTCAATGACCTGAATGAACTGATTGCGATAGATGTTCCCTATGGTCTCCAACGCTTGGGGAGTCATGCCCTTGTTTCGCAGGCTATCCTCGACATCTTTCAGACTGTTCATGAACTGGTTCTGCAGCTCGAAATGCTCGATTACAGGGCAGAAGTCTAATCGGCGTTAGTGGGTTTGAAGAGACTGCGTTGGAGGGAAAAGATTGGCATACCGAAAGGTTGAACCCTATAGTCATCGTCGTCGGGGAACAACAGGTTCCAGATCTCCTTCCATTGAACCTCAGTGCTCATGCCACTGGCTCGCTTCCTACTGAGAAGCTTCGTCATTGTAGGACCGTCGATGCCGGACTCTGGGTCATGGTCGGAAACGTCACACATCTGCTCCTTTGGTAGACGTTGGTGGTCCCTGAGATCCTTCTTGCTGGGGAAGTCTCGATTGCAGCGGTCGCACATGAAGGATGAGGGGTCGTTGCGCTTGTGTTGCTTGACAATGTGTTGCCTATCAAGCGTTAGAGCACAGTTCGTGAGTTTTTCAAGGGTCGGGAACTCACCTCAGCTCGGCAAATTTGGGGAAGTAGGTCATTGCACACGAATGATGCTCTCTCACGTTGAACCTGTGCGGGTTCCTCTTGCGAAACGGACAGCTCAGTCGAAGGTCTCCTTCTGCCTCTCGTGGCGTCTGCCTGGCCCTCTTGAACGGCACGCTTGAGTCTCCATCGTCATCCGTCAAGTCATCGCCATCATCATCACCATCTGCACGGCTGGTGTCGCCCTTCTTGCGCTTGCCGTTTTGGGACCCTCGACCTGACCCTGATCTCCGAGCTAGAGGCAGAGAGCCATTAGACGATGTGGATTGAGTGTGGGTTAGCTGTGTTCCGGCGGGGAAGCCGTTGAAAGCAAATCTTCCAATGTCTTGGATGAATCTGAAGACGAAATGGCGCAGGAAGGCCGGCGGCATGGTAACCTCTTCTAGCTCCACACCGTAAGTGACTTGCAAGACATAGTCGAGAACCGCATCGGCTTCTTCATTAGAGAAGTCAATGGGTGTTGGGGTGATGGGCTCCCATGCACGCGAGAGACGATCGGAGCCGGAGTCGAAACTCATCCTTTCATTGAGGGGCCGGGGTGGCACTCGCTCTTCACGGGGTGACTCGGGCGTTTCGTCCGGCGACGGCGGCCTAACTTGGGCATAAGCATCGCATGTGGAATAGCACCGCTCTCACGGATCAAGATTTACCTTGGGGTGCCCGCCGTGTGAGGCAAGTCAGTTTGCTCGTCTTCATCCGGCTCGATGATGTCCATCCGCGGCAGTGGATCCTCCTTGTGACCCGCGCCGATGGATTCCGGATACGCCGGAAACCTCTCGCCTATGATGGAGTCCACGAACGTCGATCCCGAGTCGCATGATTCTCTGTAACGATGTCCGCTCGTACCGGACCGCGACGCAAGAAACGGTGTTGGTAAACGCTCAGGGCCATCAATATCAGGAGTCGTAGCCCTTGTAAAGGTCGATGAGGTGGGGGACATGGGCATCGAACAGGTCGTCGCTGAGTCTGGGACATGAGTCGAGCTCATGGTCGATGAGGTCGGCGAACGGTCACGAAACGTCTTCCCATAGACACCTGAGATGATCTTCAGGCCCTCGGGGCATTTTGGCTGGTGGTGCACAGGTTGCGATAGGCGAAAGTGGTGTTCAAATGGTGGTGAGTGAACTACTTCTTCGATTTTGGCATGCGAGGCAAAGGTCGAATCCCGGTGACGTGGCTCCCGAGGTCGAATCGGGATCTCGACCGTAAACGACTGCTCGTCGCTCATCGTGACTGATCCTTTTTATCTAGTCGCGATGTCGCTGATTCTGAGTTGCTGACGCGCGTCTCGAGTGAAAGCTGAGCCCGGAATGACACTTGTACCCGATTTACTGGGTTGGCCTTGGCATTCAGTTCTCCGGCTGCCCTTGCTCAAGAAGTTCCTTTCTCGAAATCCGTCCGTCACTTGTCGTTATGATCGCGGTGAGAATAAGGCACTGAAAATGATTAACGAGAGTGATGAAAGAAGACAGAAAAGCGAATGGAATCGAGTCTTGGGATGCGACACTCGAAGAAGGGTAATTCCCCCTCGGTCATGCTGTTGCCTCCAGACTCAGCCCCCCAAACTATGCGGAGTACTTAGAATGCGAACCATCTCAGCATAACAAGGGTGGGCTCAGCTGGAGGCTGTGATTGGATCATGACGACGACCGTCGTTGGCGCAAGAAACAAGTTTCTATCATTGGACAATGCGGGCGTGACGGGCGAGGATGCCTCCCCTATTTCTGGCGCGCAGCTTGCAGCAGGCCGGCATACCCCCTTTAGAAGAACTGGACCTCTGATTTGCTCGTGGCCAAGGCCGTTCTGCTTCTCTGACAGCGACGAGCAGGCAGAAACAATGTTTCTGCCAGTGTGGCCTGTTAGGGATATACCCATGATAAACCAAATCTTGGTCCAAAAGGCCCGACAAGTCGTGGTATTTCCCTAATGGCCACGAACGAGATCAGCATGCTTCGTCTCAGGGCGCCGACCCAGGCGTCCGATATACCCCAGCACTGGCACCGTCAGTGCGCCTGTCTGGCTGCCAGAACTGGTAGTCAGCCCTACGAGGATCGCATCCATCCAACATTGCGATTCCATTAATGCACGCCATCGCGACTCGGTGGATGTCAACACTCGTCTGGACCTGAAGCGTTCCAGCTTCAGCTGAGATTAGATCGACCAGGGCTCTCTGGTAGCCCCGTCGCAGGCCGGCCGCCGGTCATTCGAATTTGCCCTGCCATTGGATAATGGCAACAGTTGGTCCATTGCGTATACGGAGCGTATCGTCTACTCAATGTAAGAAGCGGAGCTCATATCGAGAAGATGCTAATTCAACCTCCTTCGAGCCTTACTGGTATTCGAGTATGGAGTGTTCGGTTATGGAATTGAGCCTCCAATTGAGCCTTGCAAATTCCTTAAGGTCTTATTATAAGAGCGTTTTGGTATGATCAAGGTCATGGGAAAGAGATGAGGCCAACATTGGTTTTTCAATTCGCAAGCGACAAGAAGCCATACCTAAGCAAGCTAACTTCTCAACCACCAAAGCCAACTGCATCGTGACCAAATTTTTTTTTTCCAAATTTGGGCGACCGCTACCCCAGACTCGATCCGAACCGAGCGCAAACCTTGAAACTCGGGAGGAAAATAGTCTACCGAATATGTCACACTCTAAAGCCAGCTCAAGCCAGAGCCTAGCAGAGTATCCCACCGGGTATGAAACATATCAATTTTCTGCCTTTGAGCAACCGTACTGACAATGCAATATCGACAGATCTTCCCGTGCCGCTCCCTATAGTGTCGATCGTTTCATGGTCGAGTCATCTTCCTGGACACCATTGAGCCAAAGAACCGGCACTCCCCGCACGACTTACAACGACCTCATGCAATCAGACCTCGACGGCCTGTTACAACGAGCGAAGCAGCCGCCACGGACCACCAATAAATGAGAAACGAGTGAGAGAAGTCAACCGATTGTACAATACTGTATTACTACTTGCTCACTTGGTCGCCCCAAGAAGCATCTTGATTGCAATGCATATACAATGGCATGCAGGATCAGAGGACGATGATTCCCGCATCTACGCGACTGGTAAGGAAAATATGGGAGCGCTGGGCTTGTTTTGGCCTATGCTGTGTCACTTCGGAATCGCAATAAAGGTTCATGATGCATGGCAAGACGATAGAATTATCTTGACCGGTGAGATGGCAGGCCAGCTCACCCGGGTATATAGACTGCTATTCGCAGAATCATGTACGATGAAAGCATATGTGCTGTTGACCAAAGGCCCAATATATACGGTGAAGACTCAAAGGAAGTGTTTGTTTACGCATCTCAACCCCATCCCAGATGCAATGCCTACTCTGCTACATTTTGAGCAGGAACATGTAGGCATTTGGTACCGGATGTGAGCCAGCATGCGTTTTACTGGAAGAGCTCGACGGTGTCGAAGATCTAGGACATGGGTTAGCATAGATGTTTATAATTCGAATGATGTTCAGTGAAAACTTACGACGCTGGGGCTCAGATAAGTGTCACCACTGCTGCCGGAGATGACATTGATGGTGATGGTGTTGGCTCCTGAAACGAGGGTGCCGGCAGGGATGCTAACGTCGTAGACTTCGCCGAGGCCGCGGTAAGCACCACGAGTCACGCCACGAGAGTCGATCTTGGTGGGCGCAGCAGGGGCCGGGCCGGTCCAGCTGTTCACCTTGGCCTGAGGGCGGCCACTGGCAAAGGCAAGGGTGGTGGCGATGCGGAGGGTGGCAGCGCCAGGGGCGGAAGCGAGGTTGAACTTGATGGTGACGGGGTTGTTGACGGCGGTGAAGATGGCCATGGGGAAGTCACCAACGGCAGATGTGCCGACGGTGTAGGTGAGAGGACCCCAGCTGCTCATGCGGCTGTCAGAGGGGTGCATGCGCAGCTGCTTGTCGGCGTTGCGGAAGCCAGTAGGCTGGCCGTCGTACTCGCCAATCTTCCAGAGGGTAGTACGGGCAGCGAGGGTGCTGGCGATGTTGGCAGTGGTAGTCTTTCCGGCGGAGACGGTGACGGAGCTGGTGGCAACCTTGAACTCGGTCTGGTAGAGGACCATGGTGTACGTGCCGGGCTTCATCAAGGGGGAGGTGAAGGCGCCGGTGGACGAGGCGTAGGTCCAGTACTGGGCGTTAGCGTTGTACCAGTGAACAACACGCTGGAAGCTGCCGGAGATGCCGGAAGCGGTGCCGGAGACGGTACCACGGCCGGAGGCAGCAACGTAACCCTTGAGGCTGAGCTCGCTGAAGAAGTCGTAGTTGAAGTCAGTGTTCTTGGGGATGCCGGAGCGGGAGAAGGACTGGACGTAAGGGCCGTGCAGACCCATACGGTAGGCCTCGGTCTGGGCGTGGTTGCTGTTCATGTAGTTGTACAGGTTGGTAGAGTCACCAGCGTTGTTGGTGTTGATGTCACGGAAGAAGGGGCCGCCGGAGGAGAGTTCAAAACCAGTCTTGGGCTCGACGGAGACGCAGACATGAATCTCCTCGGGGCTGGTGCCGTAGACACAGCGGACCTTGTCATCGATGAAGCGCTCGCTGGAGTAGAACTTGGATCGGGTCTGGCCGCTGACGACGAAGACATCGGAGCCCTCGACGGTGGAGCTGGAGCCGGCGGTGGTGGAAACAACACCGAAGGGGTATTCGCTGGGGAGGGTGTCCTTGTTCAGACGCGAGATCCAGCGGAGCTCACCAATGTCTGGCTCTGCGGTGATGTAGGTCGCCATGTAGATGTTGGCCTCACCCTCCTTGACAATGAGGTAGTGTGTAAGAGTTGAGGTGGTGCAG